TTAAAATTATGTGAGTGGATGAATAGTGAATTAAAGTTGATGTGATATGTAAGAATGATTGGTTGATATTATTTAATTATATTGATAATATTTGAGATAGTGGAGTTGAATTAAAGTTGAGTTAAATTTGAGTTTTGATTGAGTTTTTTACTCTAGAATGCATATACAATCGCCCCCTAGGGGTTTGTATTAAAAAATAAAATAATAAAAAAAAATAAAATAAAATAAAATAAAATAAAAACTGCTCTAGGGGTTTGCTATGGGCCAAGGCCAGCCGGACTCAAATGTCGAGCTTTATGGCTTTGGCAGACTAAGCAAGCTGCCACGTTCTCTCTAATCCTTGCCTTCATTCCCTTCCAATAAAAATCATTTTATACTGTGTGCTAGGTTTTTTTGGATGCCTTGATGGGTGCTGTCATGAATATTAGATAAACTAGGCATAATCCATGTGAAAGGCAGATACAAACTTTGTAGAGGAATAAACCATCATGGGGACCAAGGAGCGCAAAGTCGCCTTGTTGGTTTTGTGTGACTAATTGCTAGAGATGAGTAGCGGCATGTATTTCGGGCAGAGAATCTCTTGTTCAATAGTAACCGATGTTAGGAGATGGAATAGAGAGTTGTGTCCTCGTTGAGTTGACTAGAGAGTGTATCTGCTGCGCGATTGAGAATATCTGCCTTGTACTTACTTAGTTGTAAATTACTTTCCAGCAATCAAGAGTATGTCCGCATCAAATCTCGCTTAATTATTTCCGGCATATGTTTTCCTCATGAATCCGTGCATAACATTCTACTTTTGATCCATGTCTTGTCTTAGCAGATATATATTTTGTATTGCCTCGAATCAATTATTTTTGAAGTTGCTATTGTTGACACTTGGTTTACTACTACTTCCTTTATCCTCTTTAAGACAAAAGTCACACAGTTCAATAAAACACAATCGCTGTTGTAGGAAAGTAAAGAGTGCCTCTATTTTATTGGTTCTCATACAGATTGACGTTATTCTATTGATTGGTTGTCACACTTCATTTGAGGGAATAGGACTATCTTTTTGGGATGCTTTAAATAGAAATGTGGTCTATCCTTTTGGGATGGTGGTAATATTGGAATGGTCTTGTTGAACTGTTCCATGTAGCTCTCTTTTACGGTCGTCACTGGCATGATGAAAGCATGGTTGATGGACCTTTCTTTTCTGTTAAGTCAATTACCTTTTCTTTATTAGACAAAATTCTAAACTTATATATATATATATATATGACAGATACACGGGTCATGTACTCTGAAGCAGCCAAATTTGTTGCAAAGTTGAGAGAGATGAAGACTGATGATAATATGCTGCTCTTTAGATGTGACCTTGGTGCTGGGCATTTTTCAAAATCTGGACGGTAAGAATGTCAAATCCTTTGAGTGTTTTCCTAAGATATGTATTTTTCCATATTTGCCAACCAGATACATTCATTTCATTATTTTTTTATTGTGAATGGGAAAACAAAACCCTCTGTTTAAATTATAGAACATGAAGTTATTATTAGAAATATTCTTTTGATGTTTTTGTTTCCATCTTATTTCTTACACCCTCTACATGCTACATTGCTCAAAACATGCACCATTCAAGAGGGCTCCCTACTATCTTTTGGAAATTTGTTTTAATCATTCTGCTCCTTTTTCGTGCAAAGAATTTCTCATTTTTTATAATAATGTATTTATTTAATCTCTGAAAATCAAACACTGCCATCTTAATAAAGAGAGATACATTTGACGACCATCCAAGACTTGCTGGTAGAATAGCCAGAACTTGTTATAATTTTTTACTTCTGTGCAGGCTTTGGCATATTTTTATATTTTAGTCATTATTTTTTAAAATAAATAAAAAAGTAAAATGCTTCCATATATTTTTCTAACTTACATTCAGAAAAATAA